CACAAAATAAATTTGAACAAACAATATAATACTTCCTATATGTGTTTTAAGTATCACATTCATAACATCACATCGTCAATGTGTGCAAACACGTGATTTATCTCATTACGAGTCAATCGAGTTGTTGCAGAAATGCGGTTTTCATAAGCATATATTCTTAATTTTTAAAACACTTTTAAATTGTTTCAGTTGACCGTTAATAATATCTTTCTTTTTGCAAGCTTTTATTTAACTTGCTTTCTCTGTCGTGAGTCGTAAGTCGTCAGTCTGTCTAGAATAGTCTAGATCATAACGCCCGAGCGAAATTGCAGGCACTTCTAAGTGACAGATAAGGTTCGTAGTTGGTACGTTGGTCAAGACGTATTTGTATTATATGAAGACAAAATACAACACCCCAATTATAGTGACAAACACAAACTATACGACTTCACTTGGACGAAACTCGCGGACACAATTACACAGAAGCTTGACAAGTATACAACTTGCAGTGCGACCATTAGGACAGCGCTAATTAACATATAGGCCTACACATTACCAAAACATAGCTTTACTAACACCCTTTATAAAACAAGCAAATGATTTATTAGAGATTTAATTTAAACAAAAAAAAAACATCATTAGAAACATTAACAATCAAACCCTATTACAAAGTCAAATAAATAGAGGTAAAGGACTACATGTTATTATTACATTTACATTTGTAGTAATTCTAAAGCAAAGCAGGACGATAATAAAAACAAAAGTAACAGTACAATATATTTTATTTCCAAAGTCCTGTTTCTGCATGAACACAAATTGTCTACTTCGGTTAATTTTACATGTTACATGTAATAAACTGTAATACAATATACTCATTATAACGTATAAAGTATACATTAATATTTAACAGTGTTTGAATGCTTTGCTTAAATGATTTAAAACCAGTAAAAACATCGGAATGTTGGCCACATATATAATTGTAAAAACGTGTTTACAAACGCGGTTTTAGTTTTTTGACAGTTTGAACACACAATTTGAAGAAAATGTAATAAAAGTAATTACATTGGAACCTAGAAACGTTAATTTTATGTTGTGCATGCTTAGCGACATAGGCCTTCTGCTGTTTTGAATTTTTGTTCTCTTGAATGGTTTATTTGTAGTACCATAAAAACAAACGGGTAGCATACTAATATTGCGCCAATTGAACAACAATATTCTCAAACATAATTGTTCTTTGGTAACTGTCACATCCCGACACCTTGAAGTGAACGATACAACTAACTTGTCGTTCGACTGATTTCTAAAAACCCTGAATAAGAATTAACAAAGTTTATGCTAACTGAAAGACATGGTGTTGTTGTTTACCTTCCTGCATCATAAAGAGAGCCGTGTGTCAACAGAAGGGGGAAGTGATGAACGAACTCAATAGCGACTCACACATTTCACGTGCTACCCCTTGTAACATTTGATGAAGATAAGTTAGCCGAGGTTTATTGTTTATAGGAAACAAAATTATATCATCAATGTATATTTTCCAAACCATTAGCTAGTTGACCACCGGATGTTTCAATGTAGCAGAACTGACAACTAAGTTAACCAAACAATATGCCACATTTTTAGGACGTTCTTATGTCCACCCAGCTCAGATGGGTACCTGACTAACGTTAGGAAAAACTGCGGCTACAGCTTATACCTCTGTGCAGAACCCGTGTGATATAGTGCACTTTGATCTTATTCAAAAGGCAGACAATGTAAATGGGGCAATTTACCACTCGACTACACAGACACGTGTGATGAATGCTTCAAATGGAAGTTTCAATACATTGATTGAGGATTGTATCAACATATGTTCTTCATATTAAACTCTCAAACAACTTTATATCTGACCCGCTCCCAAAGTTGTAGGTGCATGTTTTACATGATTATATATTTTCTATTTTAGTTCATTTGCATAATAGAGTAGGTACATATTATTTTAGTTCACAAATGCATATAAGTATTTACCAATACCTTTATTATTCATATTTTGAAAGTTTGCAAGGGAAATAATTTCGAGTTTAATTGACACATGAAGTACATTAATTGCATTGGAAATAATTCAAATAAAAGAGACATAATGTTTTCTTTTTCAAAACGTACAAACTTTAACATATTATTTTTTGTTTTGAAAAATGATAAAATCTGAATATGTGTCATTGCTCTCTATTTAAAAAGGCTATGAAATTATAATTTAAACACGTAGGAGATATGTGATACACATTTAGTAACATGTGATAAAGTCTGATTGATCAATATTTTGCGTGCTTTTGTCTGTGTATATATATTTTTATATATTTTAAATCAACCGTAACAGCCACAGTTTGTGAACATTTTCTGAAGGAAATAGTAGACTGTGAGAAAAAAAAATGATGAAACAGATCCTACAGTTCTAACCCCACGACTGTCGCATGTTCTTTTCTCAATGTCTGACAGCCATTTACTTTTCAAATGTAAGCACTTGCTTTTCTCAAAATTTTAGTTAATTTTACATTTTATTATAGTTTTGATTTTACCAAAAGAAATGTTGATTTACCAAGAGTAGTTACCTCCCTCTGCTAAATGCAATATTCATGTTTTCAAGGGAGACAATGCAAATCTGCCACAAATAGCAAGCCGGGTAAATTATACAAAATTGTGTAATTAAACACCTTTTAATTTAAAAACAGAGTGTGAAATTTTATAGAATATAAAAATAATTTACAAAAACCTTCAAAATGTTTAGTTTTACTTTAATTAATTATTAAAACTTTATTGTAATTTCAAAAATTGAAAGCCTTATATTTGTATTAACATTTTTTAAAGACATGCAATAAAATCTTATTAAAATTCTGGTCGTTGCGCGGTTGTGACTTGAAATGTTTTTTTCTAATACCAATAAGCAACATTTGACTTGTTCTCTTGCTCGATTTTTTACGTCGGAAATGTATGTAACAAGTACTGTTATAAGATAACTTTTATCCGTAGAAAAGGACACAAAAACATGACTATTATTGTAAATCTGTATCAGTCCTCACAAGCCGATGATGAAAACTGTAATACTAAATCGAACACACAACTAACGCTGTAATTTACATGTCTGAGGAAAAAAAATATTCCTAAACAATAAAAAAATAAATTAAGATAATTAAAGAGACAATTAAAGAAAAGGGATAGACAGTGAATGCTTAATCACTCTGGATAAATCAAACATTCTAAAATGTAGAAAAAAGACAAAATACGACACCCCAAATATAGTGACAGACAAACTCAAAATGTACGGCTTTATATGGACGAGACTGACCGACACAATTACACAGAAGATGGACAAGTATACACATTGCAGCATATCCATTAGGACAGCGCTAATTTTCATATACATATTACCAAATTATAGCTTTACCAATCCAATTTATAAAACGAGCAAATAAACATTAGCGATTAAATTTAAAAAAAAAAAAAAACATCATTAAAAAAATCATACAAAATCATAACAAGCTTTTATGTAATAATGCACTAAAAAGTAGAAAATAAATTATAGCCAACTATTCAAATAACTATAAAGAAAAGCGTGGTTCACTTTAGTATCTATTGGATACCTTTACTAATGTTTAGGAAGAGACCCACGCTTTTCTTTATAGTTATTTAAATAGTAGGCTATAATTTATTTTCTACTTTTTAGTGCATTATTACATAAAAGCGTGTTATTAAAAAGTTTTTTATGAATTTTTATTTCAGTACTTTACATGTTTTACATATTTTATTAACAATAGAGTTACATGACTAAAAACCATTGCGCGCCTACTGAACGTGATGGCGCAGCTATTGAACATGATGACGCGTGTGGTGTGGTTGGATAGACATGCCTACTATTTCGGTCCAAATTTTAATTAATTCATACAAAATTAATTAGGCATCCAATAAAGTCAAATTTAATTTCATGTTGCATTGTCTTCATGTCTTGACCCACATGCCAAGTGTGAACCGCATCGATCAAGTAGAAGTGTCCGAATTTTCACTCCGGCGTTTCGATTTAGACAGACTGACGAGGAAGTGAGTTAAATAAAAGCTTGTAAAAAAATTCATAAAAAACGTTTTTTAGTGATCTTATATTAGAAATATTAATAGGCTAGTTGAAAATAATTATTCAGATGTATAAGAAGTTATTGATTTTCAAAACACAACGTAAAGAAACAAAACATTTGGTTAATGAATGGTTTAATTAATGTTATTCTCTTGTCTCTGTTCCAGGTTTAAAGCCCTACACCTGTACCCAGTGTGGCCTTCAATATGCCCCGAAGATTTCTCTCGTCTCACACGTCAGGAGACACCACAGTTAAAGGTGACAAGACAACACAGTTTAAAGTTACAAGACACCACAGTTAAAGGTGACCGGACACCACAGTTAAAGGTGACAAAACACCACAGTTAAAGGTGTCCAAACACAACAGTTAAAGGTGACCAGACATCTTAGTTAAAGGTGACCAGATACCACAGTTAAAGGTGACAAAACACCACAGTTAAAGGTGTCCAAACACAACAGTTAAAGGTGACCAGACATCTTAGTTAAAGGTGACCAGATACCACAGTTAAAGGTGACAAAACACCGCACTTAAAGGTTACTAGGCACCACAGTTAAAGGTGACAAGACAGTCAGTGGCGTAGCGAGGTCGGGTGTCACCCGGTGCGGCACTAAATGGTGTCAACCCCCCAGAGGGGTAGCGACCTTTCCCGGGGACAAACTTTCAAACTTTCGATTTGCACCCCTCCCTCAAGTTTTCGATTTGCACCCCCCCCCCTCAGACTTTCGATTTGCAACCCCCCTCAAGTTTTTCTCTATATATTTTGCTATTTTTGCCTTGGTGTCACCCACCCCCCTCTAAATGGTGTCACCCGGTGCGGTCCGCCCCCCGCCCCCCCCCCTGGCTACGCCTCTGTTACATGCAGACTTGAAAGAGGGGCATCCTATGATAATATTAAAAAAGCTATCAAGGCTGCACCTGAAGGTCCCTTGAAGGCATCCTGGGTTATACTGATGATGAGTTTGTGTCGCGGGACTTCTTGGGAGATGACATAAGCTCTATTTTTTATGCCAGGGCTGGCATTGCCTTGAATAATAACTTTGTTAAATGGGTGTCATGGTATGATAATGAGTATGGCTACGGCAACCGTGTAGTTGAGCTTTTCCAGCAAGGTCAGTTCAATGTCGACTAACAATACATTAATCACTAGCACTGAAAAACTTATTTCCCCAAGTTTAGGTATGTCAGCTGAACACTAAAAAACGCTGGTACAAAATTTCTTACTTTAGGATTTATGTCATTGGTGTACAATTTGTAAGTTGTTTCAGCTTTGTCATCATCAAACACGGGAGATTATCTTTAATGTGAAGATCTAATTTTTCAATTTTTTTTTTCCTTAAAATACTTAATGAAGCTGTGCACACGAGTGTATGTCATAAATGACGCTAGAATAATTTATCATTTTGTACATTTTTAGATGTATGAATGGCTGTAGCACAGCGTAATACATTTGAGGCTATACAATCCCGAGCTAATTGACCCACTTAATAGGGCTGGTAAGTAGGTCACCAACCAGTTCTATGGCTCATGCAGTTTTTATTGAGCCGTAGAACTGGTTGGTGACCTACTTACCTGCCCTATTCCAATAATCTGATAAAATTTCCCTGTAACTGGACTGCTGCTTCTTTTCACAGGAATTTTCTATAACACCTACAATCTCACTTTCTGCTATTTTTTAATTATACATTCCTGATTTTGCTTTAGTTAGTTTACAGTACATAAATATTGTGACTAGTAAATTGTGCTGTTCAGTATTTTCAATAAATATGGACTGTAAACAAAAAAAAAATGATTAAGGAACGAAATTCACAAAACCTCAACATAGTCCAATTAATCATTTTTTTCTAGACATGAATATAACATATTGACTTTTAAAACTATATTTTGATTTACTGTTAGATGTTTGCACATTTTAAATTAACTCCACAAGTGTCTCTAAGTCTCTAAAAGTGTTACATTTTAAAGACATTAATAAATCCCCAAATGTGGTTATAGAAAAAAAAATTATAGCAAAATAAACATGTGATCATAACAGAGGCGTAGCGATGTGGGAGGGGGGGGGGTAAATATGTCCACGGGCGCCGACCTTAGGGGGCGCCAAAATGGGTTGTAAAACCAAAGTAAAATTTTATTTTAGCTGCATTTTTCCATTATAAATAGTTTGAGGGGGAGGTGCAAATCGAAAGTTTGAGGAGAGGGGGTGCAAAATTAAAAATTTGCTCCCGATGGGGCGCCAAATTGAAAGTTTGTCCCCGGACGCCGAGAAGGGTCGCTACGCCTCTGGATCATAAGAATACGTTGCAAATTGTCCTCCATATTACTTGATAGGTAGCCTACTCAATGATACCTAGTAGACCCAAACAAAGCCGATATGACTTAGCCAACTATTATAATCAATCTAAAGTCCTGCAAGTAAGTAAAATTAAGCAAAGTTCCCTTTCAAACCTGATGATCAATGGGGCAACTGGAGTTCACCTATTTCTGTGACCCCGGCATATTATGAAGAGATAGTGTGTTCAGCACTCTGCCAAGCCGCCTTTAATTTCCCTATCGTGAGTTAGGTACCCATCAGAGTTATGTGGACTCAAGGACGTTCTACTTACTTGAACCAAGATTCGAACTCGAGATTCCGGCAAAGATATGTCTGATTCTGTATGGGAAATGTGTGTTTTAGTAAGGAGCCCTTAGCAACATAGGGAAACGTAACTTCGTTAAGGTATCACACTTTAGTGTGTATATTATGACAGTTGTTACTTCTTTACCCTAGCTGTTCAATATGTATTAATCCGATTCTAACGAAACCAGATTAGACGTCGTTAACTCCTGCATTAACTGTTGACTTATCTCCTATATCCGTGTCAGTGTTGCTGGTGTTTTAATCTGCCAATGACCAGTGTGAAGGTGTGACCACGTGATGACCACGTGATGACACTGATACTGTTGACCTTACGTGATAACCCTGACTTAAAAACCCCCTCCCCCGAAAAATGTCTACCCCCCCCCTGGAACGAAATAAATTTTATATAGAAAATGTATATTTTTACCGGTGGCCACGCCCCCCCCCCCCAGACATTTTATTAGTCTGCCCCAACCCCGAAAAATTTCAAGTGCCCGACCCCCCCCCCCCCCGGAGAAAATATAATATGAAAACGTTTTACAATTTTTAAGGAACAGGTAAATAGAGGTACATTTTATACACATAAAAAATAATAATTAAATCTCCGCAAGATATTTCCAAAACTAATATATAATCATCGGTTTCTGTATATATTTTTTTGTTTAAACACTAGTGTTGAATGTATTGTAAATATCCACCATGTTTATTTGTATCTGTGTCAATGTTAGCGTCCCTACACCCAGGTGTTTTCTTTTGTATTCGTAGTGTCATCGTCTTCACGGGTCAATGGTTACGTCATCAATCTGACGCCAGCACATGTTGGACTGACCGTTTCAAATCAATCAAGCCAGGTGGATGTGGTATACGGACAGTGTATTGTAAGTCATGGCATCCGTTTGATATTTGTACACCACCTTCCACCCCATAGAATCACATGTCTTACGGAACGTTTACTAAAATAACCTAACAAAACACTAATTCTGCCATCCCAACCCTACCACACTCCCACAAAAAAAAAAAAAAAAAAAAAAAAAAAAAAAAAAAAAAAAAAAAAACAGCCAAATATAACGTAATATATTGAGCTAAAATTAAAATAAATATAAAAGTCGTTGCTTTAAAGTCAAAATATTTGTTACTTGACGTTTGAGGGGAGCAAGGGCTATGTTTGTGTGAGTCTATGTGGGAGGATAGGGTTATGCTTGTGTGTGTCTGTGTGGGAAGATAGGGTTCTGTTTGTGTGGGCGTCTGTGTGGGGTGATAGGGTTATGTTTGTGTGATTCTGTGCGGGAGGATAGGGTTATGCTTGTGTGTGTCTGTGTGGGAAGATAGGGTTCTGTTTGTGTGGGCGTCTGTGTGGGGTGATAGGGTTATGTTTGTGTGATTCTGTGCGGGAGGATAGGGTTATGTTTGTGTGAGTCTGTGTGGGAGGATAGGGTTATGCTTGTGTGTGTCTGTGTGGGAAGATAGGGTTCTGTTTGTGTGGGAGGATAGGGTTATGTTTGTGTGGGAGGATAGGGTTATGTTTGTGTGGGAGGATAGGGTTCTGTTTGTGTGGGAGGATTGGGTTATGTTTGTGTGGGAGGATAGGGTTATGTTTGTGTGTGTCTGTGTGGGAGGATAGGGTTATGTTTGTGTGGGAGGATAGGGTTATGCTTGTGTGTGTCTGTGTGGGAAGATAGGGTTCTGTTTGTGTTGGAGGATTGGGTTATGTTTGTGTGGGAAGATAGGGTTATGTTTGTGTGGGAGGATTGGGTTATATTTGTGTGTAAGTTTGTGAGGAGCATGGGGACATTTGTGTGTGTGAGTACATTAGTGGCATGGGATTATATTTGTGAGTGAGGTGGCTTAGGGTAAAGTTTGTGTTAGAGTGAGTACGAAGGTTAGTGCCGTGAAAAAAAAACAATAATCTCGTTGTCTTTATTGACATTTTATAAAACGGGTCACATTAAATAATGTAGTTTTTTACACTAAAATTTACAGATTAATTAACATGATCATCTGATATTTTGCTTGTTTATTAAATCAGTTTAATCAAAAAGGGATAACAAGGGTTAGAGCCGTGTTAAAACCTTGGTTAGGAGTTCGGATTAAAAATATTAAGCTTAAAGTTGACTTTACCGTTTTTTTTTTTTAAAAATTCGTGATTTACGTCATTTCATGACGTATTTCGTGCATTAAAACAACCAAATATGTATTGGTCAATGAATGTTTTCTTTCGAGTTCAGACATCTTCTTTGATCTAGCGGTTAGTTACCTTCCTATTATGTAGAGCTGACCGCCTGTGCTTTGAAGAAAGGTGCTGGACATGAGGCGTGGGCGTCTCTGATTGACCGCTGTCAGGTGGTAATGATGAGCTAAGCGTGTCACCTCGCGACACGGTTGACTGCACAAACCAACCACGTGACCTTACCTCCGTGGATTGGTGGGAGGAGCTTGATGCCAAATATGCAAATGAGGTAATGCTTATAGATCTGATAGTGATATATTAGACGTGTAAAATCTCCAACTGTTTAATTTATTTCTGAAATTAACTAGGATTACCTTCACAGTTAACTTTAAACCTACAGTGACCGTTGGTCAGTTCTGAAGAATTTTCCCCCTTTTTCTGGTAAGTTGTAATTTTATTTTACTTTCTGCTAGTGCAGAAAATGCCACACATGGTTGTCATTATATTAATTATTGACTAATTATGAAGCTAATCTATAAAACATTGCTCTATAGCTCCAAATGACGAAACATATTTTAGCCTCATGAATTATTTTAAATTAGTGCTAATTGAGTATGCTTTACCTCATCATCTAACACAATTGCGACACTCACATTTCCGTTTAGATTAAATTATATACACATGCAGATACTATTTAAAATCAGTAAAACATACAAGAGGTATTAAATAAAGGCGATGTATATTATGACAATTCTGCGCAAGACAGATGAATCCATTACAACAAGAATATAAACTTTAACAGCTCTTCTTAGTCCTTACAAACACCAGAACATTTCACACTTACAATAATTTGTTCACTCATTTTATAACACAATGTACGCGGTAACAAAAAAAAAATGTACAAATGTTAACACATTTCGCTGCAGCAACATTTTATACAACATACTTAAATTTATAAAATATTTTTAACATTAGAAAAAGATAAAAATTAAAAAAATAAGACAACTGCACGCTTAAATATTTCAACAGGCGTTAGGCGTTTTGTTTAAATATATTTCGATCATCATATAAAGAGTGCTTTATACATTACATTTATTAGTCTATTTTTTTAATAAAGGAATGCACTTCTTTTATTTCTAGAATACCAGAACAAAACATAATCTGTAATAGCGTTGTTAAACCTTGAAGTGAAATCTGAATTAACAAACTTTCCTTCAACGATGGCACAATCTCTCGTATGGCGTCCATGGGATTTTCAACACACGGATACAAATCTCAGCCCTGTTGGTTCTGATGACGCCTCACCCCTCCCAGAAAGCTGCGACATCTCGCCAATTGCTGGAAGTTG